GCTTATTTAAATCGTGAGATGCACATTTGTGTGATGTTTATTAATTCGTTCCAGTTCTACAGCTGCTTGTTCCAGTAGTTCCTAGTCTCCCTTGGGTTTAATTTTCAGATTTTCAGACCTTTGATGCCATACAGAATGTCATTTCCAGTAGTTCTCCCCCCCCCCTCTATTTCAGCCTTTTGGACCTTTCAAAACGACCTACAAAGGGGACATAGATACTTCTCCCCTCCTCCCCTTCCTGCCTCCTTTTATTTGGAAGCATTGATCAGACTTGATAAATGGTCTAGTTTTGATTGGGGCTCCAAGCTGGAAAAAGTTACTTGTTGGTATTTCCCTAACCACAATTTGATGTCACTTAACAAGGCAAATTAATCTCTGCTTTAACAAACCCAGGTTCAAATGTGTGTGTGTGGGGGGGTAGACACACAAACTAGATCAGATCAAAGGTTCGCATGTCATTTCCAACCAGGTTTGTTTTTAATTTTTTTTTAAAAAAAAGTTTAAAAATCGCCTCCTTCCCCCCCCCCCCCCCCCCCCGCCTCTCTCCACGGGGTCCCCATTGCCATATCCCTGGCAAAGAGTCCTGAAAAGTTCGCAGATGGAGAGTGATTTCAGCAAAGCGTACTTTATTCTATCAGGAACAAGATGACTTTGGCCGGCTCGCAGGCCGGCTTATATTCCCCGAGAAACCGCCACCCAAAACACCCACCCACTTCCCAATAGGTTATTTACAGTGGCCGAGAGTCCCATAGGCTCTCGGCCAGGAACCTAGCCCCCTGATTGGAGCGGGCTAGGATCCGCATAGTCCATTGTCTCTTGGAGCGAAGCTCGAAGTTTGTACCTGACCGCGTGGAGCCCAAGCCGGCCACACGGTCTGGACTGAATACATTACACCCCTCCCCCCTTGGTCCGCAATGCACCCACAGACAAAGTCCTTCAGGTGGGCAAGTAACTTTCTGGTGCAGGTAGAGCAGCGAAGTTTGGGAACTGCTGCGGCCTCCACCCCTGAAGCCCTTAGAGGCGAGCTGGACGGAAGAGGCACTGGGGGTGATGGTGCTGGCGTCCCCGGCGTCTCTGGAGGAAGTGACTCGAGTTCGACCAAGGGAAGAGGCCGGGGCTCGGCCGCCGGTGGTTGGGTCCGGGGTGAGGTCTCCGGGGCCTCGGCCATGTCCCAGTCCTCGGGGTCCAATGGCATCGTCCGGTGGCGTAGCTGGTCAATGTGCTGGTGTAGAATCTGCCTGTCTTCACACGAGACCTCATACGATCTTGGGCCCTTAACTCATATGACTTGTGCTGGGATCCAGGCTGGTCCATGGGTGTAGTTCCGTGCATACACGGGATCCTCCGGGAAGAAACCCCTGGCTGCCTCATGCGTCCCCATGCCCGGTCTTGGTGGGCCTTTTCGTATGCAGTGAAAGAGCTGTGCGTCTCGTCTTTGGTCAGCTTGGGCGCTATTAAGTCCTTAAGCAGGAGATGGGTCTCCATCCCGCAGTGGCACAGCAGGTACGCCTTTTTTATACCTGGATCCACCACTCTGTGGATGGTGAAGTGGCTCTTGAGAGTTTCCAGCCAGGTTTCCCACTGCGAGGGTTGGGAGATGTCGAAAACTGGGAGGCTCTCTGATGCGGCAGCCATCTTACGGGTTCCACGTGGAAGCGAGCGGCGTAGATGGCAGAGCGGTGCGGTGCTGCTCTCGGGGTCAGCGGTGCAATGCTTGCTCGGGAGCGGAGCAGTGAGCGGCGCTTCTCAAAGATGCTCGATGCTGGTGGCAGTAGCAAATTCGGCGCGGTGGCTCACGGCGATGTCCGGAATGTGGTCTCTGTTCAGAGGGAGATGGATCCCACCTTTGTTGCCAGTGAAAAGTACGCAGACGGAGAGTGATTTCAGCAAAGCGTACTTTATTCGATCAGGAATGAGACGACTTTGGCTGGCTCGCAGGCCGGCTTATATTCCCCGAGAAACCACCACCCAAAACACACACCCACTTCCCAATAGGTTATTTACAGTGGCCGAGAGTCCCATAGGCTCTCGGCCGGGAACCTAGCCCCCTGATTGGAGCGGGCTAGGATCCGCATAGTCCATTGTCTCTTGGAGCGAAGCTGGATGTTTGTGCCTGACCGCATGGAGCCCAAGCCGGCCACGCGGTCTGGACTGATACATTACAAGTCCAAACTGTAGAATGCCACCATGCCAACGAACTCGAAGGGACACTAGGAAAATACCTTCGGTGAGCGACCCACTGAGTCACTGGCGCTCCAAGGGACGCCTTTGGCAAGTGAGTCCTGCGCAGGGCAGGATCCCGAGAGTAAAAGGCAAGTCAGGAGCACAGGCCCCAGGAAGAAACATGCGAAAAGGTCTGGCCGCAAGGGCTGCGTGAAAAGACTGCTGTGAAAAGACTGCGTTTACCCTTGAGGAAATGTACTGAAAACAAGCGTGTCACTTCACAGCAAAACTGTCAAGATGAAAAGTGTGTGGCAACAGGTAGTTGGAGGCCAAAATGGCTGCTACTTCCAGTCCTGCTGTTTGTTAGATGGAGAAACTCAGTTGTTCTGCTGGTTCTTTGGGATAAGTTACTTTTGCAAGTTCAGGAGTGACTCCTCTCAGTTATGTTTATACACACACCCACATCCCAGGAGCAGAGCGCCAATTCCTAATGTTTTCCTTTCCTTTCCTTTCCTTTCCTTTCCTTTCCTTTCCTTTCCTTTCCTTTCCTTTCCTTTCCTTTCCTTTCCTTTCCTTTCCTTTCCTTTCCTTTCCTTTCCGAGGAAGGGACGCTTTGACTAGCAAAGGCTTACACCCTGAAACTCTTGTTGGTCTCTAAAGCCCCCTGACTGGACTCAAATCTAACCAGAAACCAGAGACTCTTCTCTTCCCTTCAGCCACAGAGTTCCTTGCACATGCCTCACCTCTTTCCCCGTTCTTCTCCCTGCCTCCTGCTTCCCGCCGCTGCCTTCCCTTCTCTTTGGTTCGCTGGGCTTTTGGGGAGTCCATAAGTGGATGCTCACCCCCTTCCCTTCCTTGGGACTCTCCTTCTGGCCCGCGTGCCTGGACAAAGGAGGAGAGACTCGACCACTCCAGGCCTCAGAGAATGGAAATCCGGGCAAGCCCACATTTATTTACTTGTTCGCGCATTTGGAGACACGAGTAGCTTCCAAGCTGACGCCCACGCTCATTTGTTACTTGTCAAGATATTTACTGTGGCTGTTCAGCCCACGAGGAGAGAGCCGGAGGTTTGAAGCAGGCCAAAAGTTCACTCCAACAGAGCTGGGTGTTTTCCTGAGTTCAGCCAGCTTGGCCCCGCGTAACATTTGCTCGGAAGACAACCTAGGTGGGAACTCCCTCCGCCAGCCCCAACACGAAAGCCTTCCAATCCAGCCCTGAAGCTAAAAAGGATGCAGCAACCCAACGCGACTCTCAAACGCAGAGGGCCTAGGAGAAACCTCCTTCCTTCCTGAGGCTGGGGATCTTCTAGGGCATTTGAGTGTTAACAAAGCAGGCGCTAGGAAAAGAACCAAGTTTGAGTCCAGGGGCACCTTGAAGACCAACGAAGTTTTATTTGGGGGCATAAGCCTTCTTGCGCGCGCACGTCTCTTTCAGGTATCTGAAGCAGTAGCATCTGAAGAAGTGTGCGTGTACAGGAACACTTAAACCCGGAATAAAACTTCGTCGGTCTTCGAGGTGCCATTGGACTCCAACTTGGTTCTGCTGCTTCAGACCGACAGGGCTATTCCCCCCAAGGATTTAGAAAGTTAGACCTGAAGCCTTGTTGATGTCGAACGATTTTGGAGCCCGGAAACACACCTCGTGGCTAACAGAGGCCCCACCGTTAGTCTCCCCAGGCCCCGGGAATCACACCCTTTTAATGAAATATGGGGGGGGGGGAATTAAGAAAATAACAAGAAGGGGAGCAGAAGGTAGTTAAAGGGTGTGAAGGACAGGAGAGTCGGCTGAAAGGAAGGAGGAGAAAGACGGATCGGGCAGATCGAATCCCCATTTCGTTTGCGGGTCCCCCCCCCCCAGCAACGCGAGACGATTGTGCTTCTAACTTTATTTCACAACTCATTAGAATGTTGATTGAATTAAATTGCTCTTAAGGCGGCGGCTGCCAGACATAAAGGCTGAGAGGCAAAGCAAAAACCATTTGGGCTTTTTTTTATATAAAAAGAAGGGGGGAGGGGGGCAGAAGAAACCCTCGAAGCCAATCCCATAAACGTTTAAGTATCTTTTCGGTGATTAATTTTTCTTAATTGAGGAGAAGACCATTTCCACACACACCCCTTGATAAAGACGCCGTCCCTACCTCGTCTCTTCCTCTCCCCTCGGGCTTACGTGTGAGTCGCTCGCGGCTGGAATTGGGCAGAACTCTGTGATTTCAGTTGGGGGTTGGGAGAAAAGTGGTCGCGATTTTTGGCACCATCTTATGAATTAGAAAGGGGGGTTGTTGTCCTTTTTCACACACACAAACACACACCGCGGACTTTGAAAAGTCCCAACTCTTCCCCACATTATGCCCCCCACCCCGGCCCTTTTCTCTCACTTCCTTACCCCCTCCCCCTTCTCTCTCTCCCTTTCTCCAAAGTCTTTGAGGGGGAACCCTTTTTTTTTTTTTTGACGTATCCGTGTTGTTAATCAGATCGATGGGGAAAAGTTTGATTGACGCTCCTTTGTCATGCAAATGTCAAGGGCTTGATGGATGACGGTAGATATCTGACAAACTTCAGGAGGCATTTGCTCATTGGGCTCGGGGGCGACCACGGGGTCCGCCCCCCCCTCCATCCTACCCCCCACCCATTCCCCCATTCTGAAGGCTTCTTGGGAGGAGGGGGGGCTCCAAGGCGAGAGAGCCCTGGATGGGCCGGGTGGCTCTCGGTCCTCGCTTTTTTTTTTTTTTGTTGAGTTGGTTAACTTTGACATACTATCCAAAGGTTGTAGGGCAGAAGGGATTCCCCCCTAAAACAGGGCGACCCTCTTCCATCATTGGCAAAGGAACAATACCTAGAATGAACTTCTTCTTAGACTATGCAATTTGTAACCGTGGGACCAGCGCCTACGCGCCCAAGGACTACCAGGCCCTCGACCCGGGGACCCCCTCCTTCCCAGCCTGCTCAGGTACCTCTCCTTCCTGTGACAGCTACACTTCCGACGGACGCTTCGGGGCGACGGGGGTGGGTCCCGGTGGGCCCAACGCCCACTACCAGCAGAGCGCCAGCTACCCACCTCCACTCCCCCCCAACGCAGCCGGCCTTGGCGTCTCCTTCGCCGGGTCATCTCCGCCAGGAGGAGGAGGAGGAGGAGGAGGGGGCTTCCCGGCCCCCAACTGCAGCCCCGGCTTCGTCAACCAGCCCTTCTACCTCAACCCGCCGGAGACGGATGGAGGAGCCTACTTCCAGCCCTCGGCCTACCCGACCAACGTGGCCGCCGCCGCCCCCTCTTCTTCCAGCCTGGGGAGTTTGTCGGACGGGGGCTTCTGCGCCACCACGGGCCAGTTCCAGCCCCATCTCTATGGGCCCGAGCCGGGGGGCTACTTTGGCAGCCTCTCCCCGCCCTTGCAGGAGAACAAAGACCCGCGGCCTTGCTCGGCCCAGCCATGTCCCGTGGCTTCCACCGTCACCCAGACCTTTGACTGGATGAAAGTGAAAAGGAGCCTGCCCAAAACCACAGGTAAAGCCCCTCCCTGAGCAAGGGGGTTCATGGCCAGGGTCCTCTCGAGGAGGGCGGGACAAGAGGGGAGAAGAGAGCAGCCCTCCCTGGAGGGTTCTTCTCTTCATCTCAAGAGCATCTTCAGCAG